CCATGAAAGTTATTTGAGTTTTGATCTCTTATATGCATAATTGCTTATAGCCTTGTATTTCTTCTTCGAATCTTTGGTTTAGTTAGGTCGACTAGATCGATTTTTCTTGCCATGGGAAGAGGTGCTTTGTGATGGCTTCGATCTTACGGTGCTCAATCCCAGTGACAGAAGGGGACATGACACGTATGTATCGTTGCTATTAAGGAAAACAAGATGGGGTCTATTCCTACATGAATAGATCCTGTCTACATCACGTCATCATTCTTATTGCATTACTCCGTTTTCCCATGAACTTAATACACTAGATGCATGCTGGATAGCGGTTGATGTGTGGAGTAATAGTAGTAGATAACAGCAGGAGTCGGTCTACTAATCTTGGACATGATGCCTATATAATGATCATTGCCTGGATATCGTCATAATTATTTGAAGTTCTATCAATTGCCCAACAGTAATTTGTTTACCCGCCGTGTGCTATTTTTCTTGAGAGAAGCCACTAGTGAAATCTACGCCCCCGGGTCTCTTCTTTATCATATTTGCCGTCGAGATCTATTTTTATTTGCTTTTATTTTCAGATCTATTAATCCAAAAACCCAAAAATACCTTGCTGCAATTTTTTGTTATTTATTTTATCTCGCGTTCCCACGAGATCTATTCATCCAATCTACTACAATTTTATCTATCCTTTTGTTCTTTGTGCGTAGGTACCGTTTACATAGTGTTGTGTGGTTCTCCTACTGGTTTGATAACCTTGGTCTCATCACTGAGGGAAATACCTACCTTAGTTGTCCTGCATCATCCCTTCCTCTTTGGGGAAATACTGACGTAGTTCAAGCCGCATCAATCATAACAACAACTTTCAGGCTCACTGGAAAGTTTGACAAGTGACCGGACAACTCAAGAGTGGAATTTTCTCCTCCGACAATGCGTAGATATTCCTAGGGCCCTCTCGGTGTGAAGGCATCCATCATCGTCTGGCCAGACACAAGTGACTACGTCACAGGGATGCCGAAACACGTCAACGAGAAAGAAGAACAAAACGGGTAACATGAGCAACAGTATAGTAAGCATGGTGATGACTCGAGAGGATACCGATGCACACCGGGTTTTGTAAAGTATCATGAAGCAAAGGGAACATCGCATGATAACTAAAGGTTTGATCGAATATCATTCCTGTAATCATAGGGACCAATCTGGATGTCCATGGTTCCGCTATTGGTCATTGAACGAAGGGGTCTCGTTCATGTCTATGGTTACTGAACCTACGGGGTCACAAGATTAAGGTAATCACAATCTGTTGAGTGTTAGTAGGACGGAGTGATGAGAATATATTTGTTGAATTGTTTCATTAATATCCGGAATAGTTCCGAGAGGTTCCGGAAGCGTTTTGGGGTCACCGGAAGGGTTTTGTCGACTAATATATATAGGTGGAAAATGTTTTCGAAGATGTTAAATTATATATATTATGCTCTAAAAATGTTTAGAACAAAAATATATTAATTTAATATCAACGGGCCAAATAAGGCCAAGAGGCGGAGAAGGAGTTGGGCCACAAGGGCCCAACAAGGGAGGCACCCCCCTTTCCTAAAAGGGGGGGCGAATCCTACTTGGAGGGGGAGTCCTACTCCCCCTCCCTTGAACAACACACCAAGGGGGCTCTTTTCCCCTTTGTGGCAGTCCCTCTCCCCCCAATCCTATATATACTAGAGGATTTCCACCCTATGCGGATACAAGTTTTGGAGCCTCCTCTACTTGATCTAGTGCATGCTCTAGTTGATCCTAGTTGACTAATTAGAGCGAGCCCTAGCCACCGCTAATCCTCATAATTAGAAGCCTCGTGTGGTTCTAATCTTCTCCCTCTACTTCTCTAGCGATGATTAGCTCTAGACGGCAAAGCGCTACTGGATCGTGAAGACCGTACGCTTGCAACCAAGTAGAGAGGCCGTGCTTTCGGTCTTCCGTTCGAGGGATCATTCGTGGGCGGTTCACAGGATCGTCATCAAAGTTCAAGGGGCTTCAAGTACGATCTACATCGACTCGTCTACTTCCGCTGCACTCCCGGAGTCGGTAAAGATCGTTGATCATAACCCGTTATGCATCTTCATATTGTTCTTGGGTGTTCGTAGGGCGATTTTTTTTGTACTACGTTTACCAACAGCGGGATGGGCCGGCTTCTGTGGCTGTAGGGGCAGCGCAGAAGTCGGTTTTGGCGGCGGTCGACGGTGGTATGGCCGTGGCTCGGATCTGGCGTGATGGCCATGGATTGCATGGCTCGGCGGAGGTCTGGGGGTGCGGCAGCAGCGCGGGAGTTGGCGGCGTAGCTTGTTGGCGCGGATGGCCGCGTGTGGCCACTGGGTCGTCCTGGTCTGGCCTGGCCAGATCTGGCCGCCTGGGCTGTGGGAGGCGTCGGGGCTCCCGTCGCTATTGCTCCGGTGCTAGTATGCTGGGGCGGCGGCCCCAGGCTGCGATGGACACACCATCTTCTTCATGGGGTGGAGGCGCAATGAGGAGGCTGGTCGGGCGCCACGGTTGTGTGTTGTGGTATCCCGGCGGTGGCAGTTGCACTTCCTGGCCGTGCGGGCGGCAGGGTTGTGGCGGGTGGATGCAGGCTCTAGTCTCCCTCGACCAGGGGTTGTGGTGGGCACGCCGATTGGTAGAACGATGGCATCTTGCTCCCCCCTCTTCACGATGATGGCCCAAGGTCGCAGCTTTGCCCCCCTTCCAGTTTGTTGTGCTTCAGAAATTGATGGACACGACCGAGGAGAAATTCGGCGCGGCTACGGCTACGACAGCGACGACGCTTGTGGGCGCCATCTCCTTCCTGGGGGCGTTGTCATGGCCATATCCATCCCCTATTTTGACATCGGGGGAAACCCTAGGCTTGGTTCGCCGGGCCAGGCAGCGGCGATGTCTCGGCGCCGTCCCCTTCTTGGAGGCGCTGCCTAGGTGCTCAGGGTGCGTCCAGAGGAGCAGCTGGTGGGCTGCCTCGCTTGCCTCGGCGGCGAGTCTTGGGGTGTTAAGTTTTCATGCGTGGGTTGTCGCTGTGGGCAGGTACATGTAAAGCTTTGCTTTAAGACGAGAGCATGAAACATTCTACGTGGAGTTTCTTTTCGCTCTTCTTTGACGACAATCATTAGGATGGGATCCCGGTTGGCAACCAGAGATTAACATGGTGGACGTTGCTTATTTCTCTTGCCTCTTAGGCATATTTGCTTCTTGTCCGTACTCGGACTCGTGCCTTCTTCCGCTGCGTTGATTGATATAATGTTGGGCCATGTTGACCTCTATTTGGTGAAATATTTATGTATTGACATATGTATGCCCTATTGTATCTCGTATTTTCTCTTGTATTGATGAGTACTTGTATTTATTGTGATGTCCACCTTCTTACCGACATATGACACTTGTGTGTATGATATTAGTCATATATTGGGGTGGCCAATATGCGCTTCTAGCCATAGTAGAGATTGCAAAGTCTTCGTTGGGCTAGGCCCTCATGTTAACCGTTACATGTGGCTTTAGTGGCATGATGGCTGACATGGGAGGTGGCTATGGTGATAACATGGGTGGCATGAGAGGTGGCTACAGTATGCACATGGGTGGCATGCGAGGTGCCTATGGTGGTAACATGAGTGGCATGAGAGGTGGCTTCGGTGAAGGTGGTGACATAGATGGATCACAAGGCAATGTTCACAATGTGCCAAATAACAACGATGAGAAAGAAGACAATGAAGATCTTCAAGGAAATGCTAAGCCAATAATGATTATCAGCCAATGTTCACAACGAGCCAAGTGACAACGAAGAAGATGAAAATTGAGATGCCATGTTTATCTTTATGTTTATGTGCCCTTTTATTTGTGGGATCATGAACTATGTTTGCTATGATGCACTATGAGATCATAATTTTGCTATGTTGATGTTGAATTTGGTACTCTCTCCTATCCATATTACTTGTCGCTCAAACAGATGTATCTCATGTTTGTGATGATTTTGGTTTAAATATGCGGGCTATAGTGTTGTTGTGCGACTGACCTATTTTTACATTATCTGTTGGATCGGTTGTCGTGTGGCTGCCCTATTTCATATTATCGGCTAGTGATGTAAAATCATTTTTTGAGTGATGTATATTTTATTTTAATCACTTTTTAGTGATGTAAAATACATTGAGGTGCTCTAATGAGGATTGGCACTACTAAAGAAAACCCAACATGTATTTTTTTTTCTTTCATTTTGGCAAAGGCACTCCTCCTACCTGTATCCTTCCAAGGCCCACATGTCATAGACATAAAGATCAGGTGCCTTAAATTGTCCCCTCCCAGGCCTGTATTAACCAAACCACCCAGCAGCCGCCGTCGCCGCCGCTCGCCGAAGCATTGCCTCCGACGAATCCCCACCTCCGCCGTCATCCTGCTGCTATACAATCCCACCTCCACATGCCCTCCAGCCATCGCTGTATCATTCCCGGTTCGTTACCGCATCTGACGACGAAGGCCGAGCGAATCCCCACCTGCCCGCCATCCTTCGTCTCCTCGTGGTTCGCGGAGCTGGGTTGCTGAGCCTGCTACTCTCTCTCGGGTTAGTTCTGTTCTTCGGTCTCTCGGATTCGATTCAGTCCTGCAGAGGAGAACCAGCAGTGCTCGGAGTTCTTTGGGCAACTGGATCGATTCAAAGTCTGAACCTTTTTGGGGAGTGGCGTAATCGGAGTCGGATTTCCGTCACAGAATCAGCTCCCAGCAGAGGAGGGGAGGCCACCCATAAGTACACCCAAGAGCCTGCCTGGCCGTGCTCTCCGTGTGGCCCATCCAGGATTGTAACCTTCCAACAAGCAATTGTTGTTCTGAAAGAGCCGATTTATTATCTCCAATGGGTGGTACTGTAGCGTATCCAAGATTTCGAGTCTAGCCATCCACCGGAGGAATCTGCGTTCTCTGGTCTTCATCAGAGTGCCTAAGCTGCTAGGTCGACAAAATTCCTCAAAGTAGATATACATGGACCACCGATGGAGGTTGCAGTTGCCGAATTACCAGTGCTGCCACAAGATGTCCTGATGTCCATATTTGCACACCTGGAGATCCCTGACCTGATGCGTGCCAGCTCCGTCTGCTCCTCGTGGCGCTCCGCGTATTCCAGCCTGCGCAACCTTGAGCAGTACCAGCAGCGCCAGACGCCGTGCCTCTTATACACATCTGAATCTGCTGGTGAAAGCATTGCGTGCCTCTACAGCCTCTTGGAGAAGAGGTCATACAAGTTGACTCTCCCGGAGCCACCTATTCGCAGCAGGTATCTGATTGGGTCATCAAATGGCTGGCTGGTTACTGCTGATGAGAGATCCGAGATGCATATTCTCAATCCCATCACATGTGAACAGATTGCTATCCCGTCGGTGATCACCATCGCACATGTGACTCCTGTTTTTGATGAAAGAGGTGCCTTATGTAAGTACATTTCCTCTCGTGACACAGCGGAGCACCGTAGTACCACCGGCCCTCAACCCGTTGATCTTGGCGAGCTGCAACACTACCTCCAGAAAAAGGCATTTGTATTTTATGATGCATCTGCAGGAGGCTATATCATGGTGCTTATTCACAATCCAGATGGGCAGCTCTCATTTGCTTGGTTAGGAGATGACAAGTGGACCTGGCTGAAACCACATTGTTTTTTTCAAGACTGCTTGTACAAAGACAGTAAGTTATATGCAGTGACATTGCTAGGAGAAATTCACGTCTTCGATCTCAGAGGCCCTGTGGTCGCAGCAAAGGTAATTACAGGCTGTGCAGATAATTACAGTTGTCGAACAATTTACATTGTTCAGGCTCCATGTGGGGATCTGATGCAAGTTTTTAGATCCCAAGATGTGGTTCATTATGATCCACGTGCTGACAATGCAACACATGTGCACTATACTGATGGGATAAAAATATTTAAAGTTGAGATTGTGGCTGAAAAGGTTATGGAAATAAATAGCTTGATGGATCATGTGTTGCTGGTTGGGCTGAACCAATCACTTTGTCTCAGTGCTGAAGAATACCCACAGTTGAAGGCCAACACCGTCTACGTTGCTGACGACCACGAGTATCTAAACTATTACAAGAATAACCGCCGTGACATTGCAGCTTTTGACTTGACACATAACAGTAGTGAGGAACTTGACTCCCCTCAGCTTTGGTCCAACTGGCCTACTCCCATATGGATAACCCCCAGTCTTACAAAATGGCATCCAACATTGGACAGACAATGAGTTTTCTTCATGTCCAGATAATGTAATTACCGTGTATAGCAGATATAATGAAAATGTTTTGTATGGAAGGAAAAGGGAATAAGTTATGATCATTGATTTTGAGGAAATTACAGTTGGCGAGAGTCGGGGGTTTAAAAGCCAGCTGTAAGCTCTGCATCAAATAGTGCATATTCCTTTGTTGCTTAAGATTGGTGGCATGGAGAAGATAAATGTGGCATGTATTAGTCTTATAGATAAGCTTAAAAATGTATGTAATTTTCTTTGAATGCACCTTAGTAGCATGTTTATGTATATTATAGTGGGGTCAAGGTTTTGAGAACCATAATTCACGTCACTTGCTGGTGGATGTGAAGTGGTTATTTAGAAATTTAATTTGCACAATGATCTTATTTTTGGGGTCAAAAGCTGCATATTCCTATGTTGCTTAGATTAGGTGTCACCCAATTTACTATAAAGTCAGGCCAACCTTTCCTTTTCAGTTTCACCTTCCTGCTTTATACAATAGCGTGTGGGCTTATGTATGGCGGTAATGAGATTAAGTTTGTGTTACAGGAAAAACACACAACTAGTTTGGAGATGGAGGTCTTCACATAAATGGCCATAGGACAGGAAGATCATGATGTTTTTGGCATCTTCATCAGTACTTTGATGGAGAATTATGAGGGCATGTTACTGCCTTTTTTGCTTGTCTATGTTTAGTTTATTCTTCTTTTGACTCTAGCAGCACCCTATTTTCTGTTATCTTTCACTTTGCTGCATCAGTTAATGATCCACGGTGAGCATCAATACATTTCCTCACACTGGCCCTTTCTCCAGAAAATATGATAAGCCATGCGGGCAACGTTCCGAGAATATACATCTCTACGGCTGAATTTCTTGAAAAGGGGAATTATCTTTTCACTTCATTAACCATATTTTATTTATGCATTATCATTGGTACATTCCTGCAGTCAGTGCAATCTAGATAGATGTAACAGAGGCACCTACTTATGGTGGCCCCATCAATCTATCCCTATCTTGCTCTGTTTGCGCTGTAGTTCCAAACTGCAGTTAACTGTGTAAGCAAGAAGAAGGCTGCAATGTAGGCAAGTGATTCGTCTATTCTATTTGCTGTGAAAATTATTATTGAAGTAATCCATCAATGCACTCTTCTTTATTAATACGGCAATCGATTGTATGCTTTTAGCCGTATTGGAGAACACTCATTTTAAACACAGGGATAGTTGATCATTGACTTCAAGCGATCTTGCTTAATGTAGTGAATGCTATTGCACGACTCCACACTGTGGTGCAAGCCTGATGTTGAAGATATTCAGAAGGCGAAACAATCAACCTAAAGGATCTGATCCTTCAGTTTTAAAGAACTTCGCAAATCACTCAGTTATGGCAGAGGCTTGTGATTGCTCACCAAGTCTTCAACCATCACAGCACAAGCAGAAAGAATCCATATTGCCCTCGGTATTTGGTTTAGAATATCAGTAAAAGTGGAAACCCTCAGATGTGAGGTGCAAGAATCTGAGACGAGTAGGTTCGATGCTGCTGATCTTGCAATGTGAAACAGGAGAAGTTTGAGCCAGAAGGATAGACCAATGATGTTCTGCGGCTTTGGCCCTTGGTCTTTCTTTTGGCCTGTAAAACTTTTTCTATTTTTTTAGGGGCAACCTTTTCTATCTTTTCAATATATTGAAACGCAAGCTGCCAAGGATAAGAATTTTCTTCCATATTGCATTAAAAATGTTCGCAGAATCTGACAATAATCTGAACGTGTCATTTTGCATCAACACCAGTAAACAAAAACAGTTAACTGATATTGTGCAGCTGTCAAATTCTCAATTGACTGCGTCTGCAATCCTTGGTACTCCCTCCGTCCTAAAATTTTTGTTTTAGATTTGTCCAAATACGGATGTATCAAGTCACGTTTTAGTATTAGATACATCTGTATCTAGAAAACCTAAGACATGAATTTTGGGACGGAGGGAGTATATGTCAAGGTCATATTTCTAAGAGAAGCTTTTTAATCTTAATTTACCATTAGCACAGGACCTTTGTTGATGGAAGAAGCATATCAAATCTCAATTTTGATTGTGTAATAAACAAAAACCTCTGTCGATGGAAAGTTCAGACATGAACCAACCAAGAAGCGGCACTAGAGAAGATACTTAAAATACATAGAGCAGTTTTCTCTTCTTTCGGAAGTTCTTTTATTGTACTCCCTCCATCCCATAATATAAGAGCGTATTAGTATCAAAAACGCTCTTATATTATGGGACAGAGGGAGTATATTGTTTCAACATATCCACTAGTTTCATCTTGAGACATATCGCTCCTATTTGGCAGAATATGAGCTATCTTCGTGTCTGTTTCTTCCTTGGGTTTATCTTCTTCCTAGTAGCGGTCTTTTGAGGAAGCAACTCAGAATCGCCCTTGCAAGGCTAACCATTGCTCCTTCAGCAGTCTACTGACGGTAGGGAACACGACTACTTATGGTCCATTACTATTCTGAAATCTGTGGAGGAAATCCAAATGTCTGCCGGCATATTTTATTGCTTCTTCTCGTATAAGGAACAAGCTTCAGTTCACAGCGACATGAAGGCATCAGACAGACAAGCCTACAGAAGCTAAACCAAGTTCAGGTTAGATGCGAAACATTGATAAAATAGTACTCCCTCCGATCCGTAATAAGTGTCGTAGTTTCAAACTAAGGTTCAACTAACCTTAGTTTGAAACTGCGACACTTATTTTGGATCGAAGGGTGTAATATTCATTGAAATTGCGACAAGAACACGGGGAGGAAAACAAGTGGAGCACGTATGAAAATTCTATCATCCAACTCAAAGTTTCCTCATCGCCACCGAGCCCATCTTTTGAAAGCATCTGTCGATGCCATCCAACACACACACACACACACCAAATTCTCAGCAGCGGCTTCTCATTGATTTGCTCCTCCTGCAAAGCATGAATCGATCTGAAAACACAGTGAACGACAGTGTTAGGATAATTAGGTATAAAATATGCTGACAGTAAGACATTTCTTGTGTCCCAATTCCACAGCCCCTACAAACCACTGAAATCCCAGCCAATACTGGTTTTTGAGTTACGTTGCTGAAACCATTCACCCAGCGCTCGAACAATTCACTAAGACTGGATGGCTTTCCACATATCAAGCCAGCAGACACCGGAAAAAAAAAACCATGTGATCTTCTGATTCTGGAGCAAAAAGGACAACCTTTATTACCATACTACCACCTTTATCCTTGGTAAGGATTCAGTTTTTGAATACTTAAAGAAAAGGAGCAGTTGATCTCAAATGAGCACTCACATTCCAAATGAAACTGAGGAGAAGACACCTCCTGGGATTTTGAACAGAATCACATGCTACCACATGTCCACAGGACGGCATCAGGATGAATGGATGATCAGTAAAGAAAACACAGAATACTTCCCTGGCACTTCTTACCACGTCCTGCAGGTTTCACCCCAAGCTGACCTTAAACAGAAATACCCATCCTCAACAACTCTCCTAGAAACAGTCAAACCTACGGTAAACTGTGACCATGTGATACACATGTAAAACTCATAACCAATAAGTGAATGTCACCATGATCAAACTGACGCTTGTTACCATCTCCTCCCATGTGAATAACATTCCAGCAAACACATTTCGATCGATCAAAGTAAAGATAACTTCCACAGTAGCTGCAGAACATCATCCAAGAAAACCATTTTCTCAACAACATGATCGCACTAGGCTCACAGCTGGTCGTTTGACATCACTCTCACACGACATGTCAACCCACCATCCAACAAAAGCATACAATAGTTCATCTCTTAGTAGCTTTTATTAGCACACCATGTGGTTCTTCAATCTCAGGTCATACTTGCAGACACCTTTAGCTGCTGCAAATCTTCCCAACAGATTTTTATTACACCCTACCTCGACAAAACCTCTCATACCACAACTCTGGCTTGGTCTGCATTAACAATAACAAAAGTTAGTATCATCTATCACATCATTTCTTTCAGCATGCACATGAGAAGGAGTCACCTTACCTCCCAAATACTTGTGCAATAGGATCTGTATAACTGCTGATGTTCACAGCTGCGGAACCTAACTGTACATAATTCTTCACCACATTTGACACCTGGAGTGTTGTGGCAATTGAAATGATAGAGCATCTGCAGGTCAAAACTCAGTTATGCTCAAGAAGATGGAATAAGCTCCTATTAATTCATTAGTGATTAACTTACATTCTCGAAACGTACTACTGCATTTCCATGTCTCCAGGGCTCTTCAAAAAAACATACAGTGCACAATTCATATCCGAGTGGAAGCTTCATTCTAGCTTCACAAAACTCTTAATACCTCCTCTCATTCTGGTAAGGATCCTCATCCTTGTCAACCTGTTAGCATAACACAACGGAGTTTAACAGGAAACAACAAAGGAACAAACTACTCCCTCCGTTCGGAATTACTTGTCGCGAAAATGGATGTATCTAGATGTATCTTAATTCTAGATACATCTATTTTCGAGACAAGTAATTCCGAACGGAGGGAGTAGGAAACAGAGTTTTTCACAGAAGTACAGTCCTTGGCAAGTTACTTGGCTGAAGAGCAAGTATTTACTCACTGGATAAATAGGAGCCGGAGGAAAATATCGGGGCGCTTCCTTCTCGGCAGAGTGTCTAAGCAACTAGTCACAACACTCCTATTAACTTATCCACAATATGAAGGCAACTAGTTACTGTTGTTGGCACATTTGGGAAGAACGGTTCTTCCAGCAATAGATTATCTCTGAAGAATCTTAAACGACATTCAGCTGCTGCGTTTCAAGTTCCTTGATGGAATCCTTGAAGATCTGTTTCTTTGTGCCTAGCTAAGCTACGGCCTTATGTCTACCACAACTCAGCATTGCCAAAAACTAAATGTTTGCCAACTAAATGCTTTAGAGTTCTTGGCAGATCCTCGTTCATAGCATATACCGAGAAGTGTTTGATTGATA